CAATCCCCACCAAACCATTCCAGTATTTTCTGTTCGTCATGGGAATTCTGTGTGCCAAATTTGGTTTAGTTCCATCATTGGTGGAGTGCAGAATGATCTTTGATTGTAGGTGAACTATAAATGCCAGCAACTAAAACTCCCAAATGACAAAATCAATCCCCCCAACCCCACCAGTATTCAAATTTGGACGTTTTGGGTATTTCATTCAGTGAATGAAAATACATCCTGCATATCAGATATTTACATTACAATTCATAACAATAGCAAAATTACAGTTACGAAAGTAGTAACAAAAATACTTTTATGGTTGGGGGTCAGCCCAACATGAGGAACTGTATTAAGCTGTATTTCTGGCGTTTCTGGGATTGGCTGGTGACTGCTGGAAGAGCACTTTGGTTTTCTCAATGTTCAATTACAAGCCGAGCTTCTCATATGCTTCTGCAAAAGTGTTCAGAATGGCTTGTAGGTCTTCTTCTGAATGTGCACAGACCACATTGTCATCGGTATATTGGAGTTCTAAAACAGATGTTGTGTCCTTGGTTTTGGCTTTCAGTCTGCTGAGGTTAAATAGCTTGCCATATGTCCGATAGATGATTTCCACTCTGGTGGGAAGCTTCCCATCAACAAGGTGAAGTATCATAGCGATGAAGATGGAAAAGAAAGTTGGGGCAATAACACATCCCAGTTTGACACCTGAATCCACCTTAAATGGGTCACTTTGGGAGCTATTGCTGTCCAAGACTGTTTTCATCATGTCATCATGGAGGAGCCGCAGGATGTTCACCAATTTGTCGGGGCATCTGATTTTTTTTTGGAGGATAGTCCATAGGGCACTGTGATTCACTGTGTTGAATGTCTTCTGAGACAGGTAGAAGGTGATTTGTGAGGATTCTTGCAAGGATTTTCCCAGCGGAGGTTAGAAGGGAGATACCTCAATAGTTTCCACAGTCTGTTCTTTCCCCCTTTTTTTGAAAAGGGTAATGATGGTGGCATCTTTGAAAGTCTTCTGGGATTTTCTCGGTCACCCACACTTTTTCAATGAGCTGGTGGAATTTTTGTGTCAGCTCTGGTCCACCCTCTTCATCAAGAATCCCATCAGGTCCGCTGGCTTTGTAATTTTTTTGTTGGCTGATGGCATTGCTGGCTTCTTCCAAACTAGGCAGTGAGTAAATACAACAAATCACATGTCTAGAAATGAGAAAGGAGAGGCGGCTTAGGAAGGAGAAACAGTGGGCCGCACATACAAGTGGTCTTCACCAGTGTTTGACAAGATGTTTCTGGATCAGAAATTGGTAAGCACCAGAATGTGATTAAAATGAAACAGGTTTGCTTAGAGCTGTCACACACCTATTTAGCTTTTTGAATGAGAGGGAAATGCCTTAGAAAAGCCTCACCGTTCCTACGCTGCATACTTTACTAGAAAGGATGGGTTCTCTATACTTTTTCAGGTTCTCCATAGAGCATCCAATGAGTGCAATTCCCTTGTGGTGGCCTCTTCCATTCTGGACCCAAGGAAATTGGAGAACGCACTCGGTAACGCACTCATTCTCAATCAGAACTGGGAAAAGGCATCTATTTTTGGATTACATCTCCCAGATAAACCTCCTTGTTTGTTTTCCCAAAAAAGGTCAACTTTTCAAGCTTGAAGTGAAATATTGTATCAATTTGGTCTTAGGCATTAACAGCACCTTCGTTAGGTGATTCTGTCAAAGCTCTGGCTAACTTCTATAACACGGAGGTGACCAGGGCAGTTGACACAATCCCGAACGTCTCCTTTCACAAAGCAGAACCAAATCAGGTCTATGGTACAACAAGGAGCTAGCAGCGATGAAGCAAGTGAAACAGAGACTAGAGCAGCATTGGCGCACTACGCATAGCGAGTCAGACTGAGCACGGGCTAGAGCTTATTTAAGAGCCTATTCTGCAGCAATGAAGGCAGCAGAAAAATCTTTTATGGCCGCCAACATTGCATCTGCAAAAAACCACCTAAGAGAACTGTTTCAAGTGGTCATGGGACTTCTAAACTCTGTTAACCCTGGGACCCCTGACCAATCGACAGTTTGCTTTGAAGAGTTTGCTAGGTTATTTGCTGATAAAGTCACTCTGATTCGATCTGACTCAGATGCCAGTGTTAATGCAATCTCTGTGAATGTGACCAAGGCATCTGCTTATCCTTGTTTAATGGATTCTTTTCAGCTTGTGCAGTCTGAGGATGTGGACAAGATGTTGGGAGGAAAGAGGCCAGCCATTTGCTCTCTGGACTCTTGCCCACCTTGGCTTATAAAATTGGATGGGGTGGGGGGGGGGGTGGCAGAGTGGGTGAAGGTGCTGGTGAATGCTTCCTTGACCAAAGGCAAAATGCCAATTAGATTCAAGGAAGCTATAGCAAGACCACAACTAAAGAAACCCACACTGGACCCCACTCAAATGAACAACTACAGGCAAGTGTCAAATCTCCCCTTCCTGGGCAATGTTCTAGAGAGAGTGGTGGCCTCACAACTCCAAAGCTTCTTGGATGAAACCAATTATCTGGATCCATTTCAATCTGGTTTCAGGGCTGGCTATGAAACTGAAACGGCATTGGTCGCCTTGGTGGATGATCTACGAAGAGAGCTAGGCAGGGAGCAAGCTTGTTTACTGCTGCCCTAGAGACTAGGACGCAGAACAATGACTTCAAACTACAGGAAAGAAGATTCCACCTGAGCATTAGGAAGAACTTCCTGACTGTGAGAGCCGTTCAGCAGTGGAACTCTTTGCCCCGGAGTGTGGTGGAGGCTCCTTCTTTGGAAGCTTTTAAGCAGAGGCTGGATGGCCATCTGTCAGGGGTGTTCTGAATACGATTTTCCTGCTTCTTGTCAGGAGGTTGGATAGCCCCGGGGGACAGGGGGAGTGTGTCCCTGCTGGTTATCTTGGACTTCTCAGCAGCTTTCAGTACTATCAACCATGGTATTCTTCGGGGCCGCCTCCCCGAGATAGGGCTTGGGAGCACTGTTTTTCTCCCTGGCCTGTCGCCTGTGTGATCCCCCAGTGCTCAATTCTGTTCCTCATGCTATTTAACATTTACATGAAACCGCTAGGAGATATCATTTGGAGTTTTGGAGTTCATTGTCAAATTTACGCAGACGACACCCAACTCTATTACTCTTTTCCACCAAAAGCCAAGGATGCTATTCTGCCTGTCATCTGTGAGGGACTGGATGAGGGCCAACAAGCTAAAACTAAATCCAGACAAGACAGAGCTACTCCTGGTCAGGCGTAAGGTGGATCAGGGTGTGCGATTTGAACCTGTGTTGGATGGGGTCGTACTTCTCCTGAAGACACAAGTTTGCAGTCTGGGGGTGATCCTGAACTCATTGTTGACCCTGGAACCCCAGGTGTGGCCAGGAGCACCTTCGCACAGTTAAAACTTGTTTGCCAGCTGCGATCGTACCTTGAGACGCCTGAATTGGCCATGGTAGTCCACGTCTTGGTCATATCCCATTTGGACTACTGCAGTGCTCTCTATGAAACCATAGGGAATGTGGAACAACATTAGTAATCCCAAATCGGTCTCCTGATATGGTAAGTCGGTGTAACCAGGATGGCGGTCCCTCCGAATTGAAAGTGGTGCTGTTGAACGCCAGATCTGTCAACGGTAAAACAACTTTCATCCAGGATTTAATCCTGGATGAACGGGCAGATCTGGCGTGCATCACAGAGACCTGGTTGGACGAAGCGGGAGGTGTAAATTTAACCCAGCTTTGCCCACCAGGTTTCTCTGTGCAGCACCAACCGAGATCCGGAGGGCGGGGAGGCGGAGTTGCAGTGGTCTATAGAGATTCCATTCTTCTGACCAGGGCCCCCATCCCGCAGTCAACAAATTTTGAATGCGTCCACCTGAGGGTGGGTGACCGGGACAGATTAGGGATTCTGTTAGTGTACCGTCCACCTCGCTGCACTACAGTCTCCCTGCCTGAGCTAGCGGGGGTGGTCTCGGACCTGGCGTTGGAGTCCCAACGGCTGCTTGTGCTGGGGGACTTCAATGTCCATGCCGAGGCCGCCTTATCGGGAGCGGCTCAGGACTTCATGTCTACCATGGCAACCATGGGGCTGTCCCAACAGGTATCTGGCCCCACCCACAGTGCTGGACATACATTGGACTTGGTTTTCTGCCAGGGATGGGAGGAAGGTGGCGGTGTTGAGGAGTTATCCATCTCTCCGTTGCCATGGACCGACCACCACCTGGTCAGCTTTAGACTCACTGCACCCCCTAACCTCCGCAGAGGTGGAGGACCCATTAAACTGGTCCGCCCCAGGAGGCTTATGGATCCGGATGGATTCCTGACGGCTCTTGGGGAATTTCCCGCCACCTCGGTTGGTGATCCTGTTGATGCCTCTGGTCGCTCTCTGGAATGGGGAGATGGCTAGGGCAATAGACACGATCGCTCCAGAACGTCCCCTCTCAAGTAGCCGAGCTAAACCAGCTCCTTGGTTTACTGAGGAGCTGGCAGCATTGAAGCGAAAGAAGAGGGAACTAGAGAGCGTGTGGCGTTCGGATCCGAGCGAGCCAAATCGAACACGGTTTGTGTCCTTTTTAAGGGCATATGCCGCGGCAATAAAAGCCGCAAAGAAGACCTTCTTTGCGGCCACTATTGCGTCTGCAAAGAACCGTCCGGCTGAACTGTTCCGAGTTGTCAGAGGCCTATTAAAACCCACCACTCAGGATGGGTGCCCTGATGACTCGGCAGCTCGCTGTGAAGCCTTTGCTCAGTTCTTTGCAGACAAAGTCGCTTTGATCCGCTCTGGACTGGATACCATATTAACGGCAGTATCTGAGGATGTAACACGAGCATCTGCTTGTCCAGTTTTGATGGATTCATTTCAATTGGTTCAATCCGAGGATGTGGACAAGTTGCTTGGAGGAATGAGAGCCTACTACCTGCATCCTAGACCCCTGCCCATCCTGCCTGATAAAAGAAGCAAGAGGGGTTTTGGCAGAGTGGGTGAAGGTGGTGGTTAATGCCTCCCTTCAGGAAGGCAAAATTCCAGCCAGCTTAAAGCAAGCTGTGATAAAACCGCTGTTGAAAAAACCATCACTGGACCCCACTCAATTCGTCAACTATCGGCCTGTTTCCAATCTCCCCTTTTTGGGCAAAGTCATGGAACGTGTGGTGGCCACACAACTCCAGGCATTCTTGGTAGACACGGATTATCTGGATCCGGCACAGTCTGGCTTTAGGCCGGGGCATGGTACCGAGACAGCCTTGGTCGCCTTAGTGGATGATCTGCGTCGGGAGCTCGACAGGGGGAGTGTGTCCCTGTTGGTGCTGCTCGACCTCTCAGCGGCTTTCGATACCGTCGACCACGGTATCCTTCTGGGACGCCTCGCGGGGATGGGTCTTGGAGGTACTGTTCTGCAGTGGCTCCGCTCATTCCTCGAGGGTCGGTCTCAGAAGGTGTTACTGGGAGACTCCTGTTCAACTCCACAACCTTTGTTTTGTGGGGTTCCTCAGGGTTCAATACTGTCTCCCATGTTGTTTAACATCTACATGAAGCCGCTGGGCGAGATCATCCGGAGTTTCGGAGTGCGATGTCATCTGTACGCAGATGATGTCTGTACAGAAGTGATTATAATAATATGATTATAACTGTATTTATGTTTGCATTGGTTGCCCTAAGGCTGGAGCGGCCTAGCTGTGAGGAGTATGTTACCATGGAAACGATGCTGCAGAGGAGTGGGAGGAGCTTAGAGAGGAGTGTTTTTGAGAAGCGACAGTTAAGAGTCAGTCAGGTTAGAGACTCTGAGAAGGGAAGAGTCAGGTTAGAGACTCTGAGAAGGGAAGAGTCAGGTTTTAGTGTTCGTGAATAGTAGAGATTTCTTCAGTTAGGAAGCTGAAGGGGAAAACCTTGTTAGTTGCTTTAGTTAGAAAGAACTAACAGAGGCTTGTTAAGATCGCTAGTCGGTAGAAGACTAGAGATCTGTCGTTTGATCAAGGATAGATCAAACAGGGAGACTATTCACTGCAGGGAACACTGGTTAATAAAGTGCTTCACCACAGCAAGAGTTCATAAGTTGTAACATCGAAAGTCTGAATTGTATCGCAACCAAGTTACATGTAACCTTCAATTATTTTGCCAAGCTTAACATCATCATACTGCAACCATACGCTTTGTTTAAAAATAAACTTGTTCTCTTTGGTTTTTGAAACTGCCTCATCTCCATTAATTCTACGTTCGTGTACCCAATCTCCCAAAATTACCTCACAACACAAACAGGGTGGCATCCAGTGGTATTAATACCAGAGCCTTTTACAAATCGGTGGCTCCTCTCTCCTAAACCTAAGGGTCTTCCTCACTAATTGGTGGCGATCTTTTACGACCTGGTAGCCGTCTCTTTACAATGTCCAACTCTGTCACTCCTTCCCACCCGCTACTAAGGAGGCTGTCGAGGTCCTGAACCGGTGCTTGGCCGCTGTGACGGTCTGGATGGGGGCGAACAAATTGAAATTGAATCCAGACAAGACAGAGGTACTCCTGGTTAGTCGCAAGGCCGAACAGGGTATAGGGTTACAGCCTGTGTTAGACGGGGTGCGCACTCCCCCTGAAGACGCAGGTTCGCAGTTTGGGTGTGATCCTGGACTCATCGCTGAGCCTGGAACCCCAGGTTTCGGCGGTGACCAGGGGAGCATTCGCACAGTTAAAACTTGTGCGCCAACTGCGACCGTACCTTGGGAAGTCTGACTTGGCCACGGTAGTCCACGCTCTGGTTACATCCCGTCTTGACTACTGCAACGCTCTCTACGTGGGGTTGCCTTTGAAGACAGGCCGGAAGCTCCAATTAGTCCAACGGGCGGCAGCCATGATACTAACAGGAGCGGGGCGCAGGGAGCACACAACTCCTCTGCTGCACCAGCTCCACTGGCTGCCGATTTGCTACCGGGCCCAATTCAAAGTGCTGGCGTTGGCCTTTAAAGCCCTAAACGGTTCTGGCCCAACTTATCTATCCGAACGTATCTCGGCCTATCAGCCCACCAGGACCCTAAGATCTTCTGGGGAGTCCCTGCTCTCTATCCCGCCGGCTTCACAGGTGCGGCTGGCGGGGACGAGAGACAGGGCCTTTTCTGTGGTGGCCCCTCGGCTTTGGAACGCCCTCCCTATAGAGGTAAGATCAGCCCCCTCGCTGATGGTGTTTCGAAAAAGATTGAAGACATGGATGTTTGAACAAGCATTCGGTTAACCCGGTGCAATGAATTCTGATGATCAAAGGACTGGTAATCATGGACGATGAGATTGGATTGCGATTTCAGTTACGAGATGCAACTGGATTGTTATTGGTGGCCCAATAATTTGTATTGTATATGTGTTTTATGCTTTTAAACTGAATATTGATTTTTGTAGTGTTGTAAACCGTTTTGAGTCGCCGATTCAGGCTGAGAAATAGCGGTATACAAGCGCAGAAATAAATAAATAAATAAATAAATAAATAAATAAATAAATATGTGGGGCTGCCTTTGAAGACAGCTCAGCAGCCAGATTGCTAACCAGAGTTAGCCAATTGCGTGGGAGTTCTATACCATTTTGCCAGTATTTTCCGTTGCATTTCCTTAATCTTTAGATGTTTTATTTTATTGACTAATTTTATCCAATTGTCTATTTCTCTCTCACTGCAACTTACCGTAATTCCTCCTTCCAGACTTCAATCAGGGTAGATTTTGTGTTGTATTGTATTTCCGTGATTATTTTGTATATGAATCCCATGATTCCTTTCTCCTTCTCAACTTTCCATTTTATTATTTTGTCAAGATTTTTTTCTGAGGTTTCCTTACTCTTCTATTCTTGGCAAACACCGGTCATTTGTAATCTTATCATTCATTCATTTCTTTTTTTGTTTCCTGCCCGGCCCGCTTCCCTCCTGCTCATTAGCTGAGTGGCCAAAGCAGAGCTAGTGCTCTGATTGGACAGAGCACAGCCTCCCCCGACCACTCCTCCTGGCCAGCTGATGCTCCAACCAATCAGCAGAAAGCTGGTCCAGGAGGCGGGTGTGGGAGATTTGAATTTGACAGTTCTATAAATGTGGTATTTCTCAACCCAGTGGGCATGTCGGCTCCTTGAGCAGAGAACTGCAGTCATCATCCGTTCCAGCTGGAATGAAATAAAACCTTGGTGACTTTTCTTCAACTTGGTGAGACTTTATTTTGGGAAAATCTAGGGAAAGATCTCTCTTGGTGCTACTGTCTTGCCAGGTGATCCGGATCCTCCTTTTGGGTCTGACCGGCCTCTGCTTAAGCAGGCCCTCCCAAATTCATGTTCAACATCACAACTAAGAATCCACATAGCATCAAGCTCACGCAGGGACCTTTGCCAAGGTGACGAGGAAATCTTTCATTTCTCAGTCGCTCTAGTCGGCTGTCAACTCGATCTGGTGTTGAAGCTGGTCAGCATGCTCTCGGGTGGCATGATAACAACATGGCCGACCCCCAAAAATATATGAGGAAGGATTGAAGGAAGGGAAGGGGAATAGGAAGGAAAAGTACCAGACCGCCACCCACACCTACCACTTGAGGAACTCCCACACTCTGCTCCAGAGCTTGCTGATCCACAGGTTGACTCCTAAGTCCGTCAGGTACTGGATCTCGGGAGTCAGCATCTTGCGGCACAGTTTGCGGTGCTTCTTATGGATGTGCTTCTTGAGGTTGTAGCCCAGGATGGACTTCTCACCCAGGGGCTGCCAGGGCTGCATGGCAGACTCCTGGATGGCCTTAGCATCCACGGGGTGGCCCCCGTCAATGCAGATATGGGTCATCCTCTTGTTCTTCTCCTGGAGATGGGCCACATCTTTGGCCATTCGCTCCCTTCCTTAGGCCTCCACCTTGCACCTGAATGTAGCGTTGAAGTGCCGGTAGAGCTTGGAGGCAATGAGGTTCCAGGTGGTGGCCTTTTGGTAGAGCTCGTCTGTCAAGTGGGAGACGGTAGAGTCCTTCTGGGCATTGAGCTTGAAGTAGAGGACATCCTCCAGCTCCCAGCAGAGCAAGTACTTGAGGAGAATCAGGAACTCATCAAAGTACTCCAGCAGCATGACCAAGTGGAAGCGCTGGTCGATCTCTTGGATGGACTGCTCCACCTGAGGACTGTTGGGGTTCAGGGTGTTATCATAGCCCAGGTCAAAGAAGAGGAGGTTCTGCAGTTAGTGAGAGTTGAAGCCCTTGGGGTTGTAGTAGTGCCAGGGGTCCCGCAGGAACTTGGTCAGCTTGTCCTCCCCAGAGAGCTTCCAGGTGAAGGGAATGAGGCGCCTGAAGTAGTGGAAGGAGGACTCAAAGAGGTATGCCTGCTCCCGCATCACAGTCACAAAGGTGGCACTGGGCGGCAGCAGTGTGCGCACCTCCTCATATTGGAAGTGTATGTGGTTGCAGAAGATGTTGAAGCACATGCCAGGGTGGTAGTCCTGCACCTGGCTACGCTCGAAGGAGGATGGGTAGTAGAAATCGTTGCGGCCATTGGGGAAGGCAAACTTGAGGTGGTGCTTCTCCCCAAAGCGTAAGAAGATGTTGAGGATGGTGCTGCTACCTGTCTTCTGTGTCTTCATGAACATGATGTCCCGCTTGGGGAGGCACCTGCCCTCCCTGCAGCCTGCCAACGTATAGTTCCAAAACGCCAAAAGTTCAAAACGCCGAAATGCCAAAACTTCTTTCCTAAGCACAATGCCAAGGACCAGATCCCTGTTTTCCATACAGCAGAACCTGACTCAAAACCTGCACAAAATCCAAGACTCCAAAACTGTACTTCTTCCTCTTCCCTTGAGAAAAAAGCGCAAAGTGATCAGATTGCTCCTGTGCACATCTGCTACTCTCCATAGTACACTATCTCTCTCCTTCCCATGGAGCAGAGCATAGCAGGTGGAACAATCTCCTCAGGTCTGCCACACTTTGAGCATTATTAGACTGAGTGTTTTATATTAATATTCTGCTGATGTAGTCCCAAAGTTGTAAATCAATGATGGACATCTTCCATCCTGGCTCCATCTCAGTTTCCTGGCCAGATGTTGATTCTTCTTGATTGGTGTTGACAAACACAAGGCTTGTGTTGACTTCCGTCTTAACATAAGGAATGTTGCAAACATTTCTGTTATCACTGTCCAAGTTCTTATCAGAGTTTATTTTTAATTTCTCATTAGCAACTTTTAATTATAGTCCATCAAGCAGGTAGTTAGTCATTGCAGGCCTTAATATTATAATGGTGTCTCCAAAATTATTAGCTCCATCCATACATTCATCTTCCATTCTTCCATTCATTCCCACACATCATATTAAATTCACATCTATCAAATCTGCACATTGAATTTCTTATTACACAGAGACACACGATTGGAAGTATAAATCTTCATTATGTGGCCAACTGCTTGGTTTGGGGTGGGAATCCTGGCTTCCCACCCCAAACTTCAGGCCTGTATTTTCACCTCATGCTAGACCGAATGTTGGGCCCTTCCTGGAAGGGGCTGTTTGCTTTGCTGCCACAGGGGCTGCCATTTTCTACAGTGTTTGAGAGGTCCCAGGTCCTGCTTGTTCAGGCTCATAGTCCAGATCCCTGAAAGGCACAGAAATTAAGCAGTCACTCTCTCTCAGCCATAGGGTAAGATACACATACTCAGATTAAACATAAACATTCATTACATTACTTGTATTCATTACTGTGAATATTCTGGCAGTGTCTTTTAGGGCTGTGCTTTTTCTTATGCCAAGCCTCATCCATTTGGGGCATTGTCATCCCAAAAACCTCTGTAAGGAAAACTTAAGTTAAAATACACTTTATGATGTTTCCAGGTATATAACAACTGTGATAATTTGTGCTTGCTTTAAAAGTTTATACAGGGTGAGGCAGCATAACTTCCTTTTTTAAAATGCGTGCCATTCAGTCGGTTGAAGATGTAGCGGAGCACTAGTGGTCTCGTTCGAGAGGCGGGAGTATAAAGTTTTGTCCTGACACAGTTCAGCCGTCATCATGCGTTGGAACAGTGAAGAGCGTGCTTTTGCCGTTGAGGCCTACTTTTCAAGCGGATTTGGAGTGGCTGGCCCGCTCTCCCCTTGTGATTTTTTTCTATGGGGTTTTTTTGAAATCCCGTGTTTATGTGAACTGTCCAACTGTCCAGGAAGAAATTGCCAACATAACACCTGCTATGCTGGCAAGAGTAATGACAAACGCCAGAAATCGGTTTACTCAGTGTATGGAGAATGGGGGGTGTCACCTACCTAATTTGATCTTCAAAACATTAATATGACCTCTCATATTAGCAGCAGAAATTGTCCCCAAATGAAAACATTCCTTGGGTGGGGGACAGTATGGTGTTTGGGGAGGACATTGTCAAGTGTTGGGAGACATGTTCATGGCACCCTCTGTAACCTGTCCTTTGAGGGTGGGCTTTGGTGGTTTAACTGTGGGTTAAAGCTGTTTGTGGAGGCAGCAGCATCCACAAACAGCTTTAGGTATGCTCCTAAATTATATTTAAAAAGTCTGATTCATACAATGGGTTTTATTAAGTTTTGAAAAAAGGAAGTTATGTTGTCTCACCCTGTACTTTAATATCTCCTAAACTATCAAGTATTTTTTGAATAATTAGATTAAAAGTATTTGATGTAGTTTCTAAAAAATTTGATAATATGTATGGGCCGTTGATATTGATTTTTATATATGCCAATTTAAAGTGTGTGTGTGAATACATACACACACATAATACAAGTAAAAATGTGTATGTGTGTTTGTGGAGGAAGTGTCCACTTACACAGACAGGCTACTGCCTCCACAAACAGCTTTAACCCACAGTTAAACCACCAAAGCCCTCCCTCGAAGGACAGGTTACAGAGGGTGCCATGAACATGTCTCCCAACACTTGACAATGTCCTCCCCAAACACCATACTGTCCCCCACCCAAGGAATGTTTTCATTTGGGGACAATTTCTGCTGCTAATATGAGAGGTCATATTAATGGAGCACAGGCAATTATATTGCAGAAGTATCTGATGTCTGTCTACCGCATTGTAGTCGGTGGTTTGTGATTTGCTCTTCTCCGCACTCGCATGTTGGGGACTCCACTTTTTAGCCCCATTTCTGAAGATTGGCTCTGCATCTTGTGGTGCCAGAGCGCAGTCTGGTCAGTGCCTTCCAGCTCACCCAGTTTTCTGTGTGCCCAAAGGGAAGTCTCTAAGATCATCCGGGGAGGCCCTGCTCTCGATCCCACCAGCCTCACAGGCACGGCTGGCGGGGACGAGAGACAGGGCCTTCTCAGTGGTGGCCCCTCAGCTGTGGAACG